CTCAAAATTTTGAGAATAAAGTTGAAATGTCATGTTGAGTTTAATGTCGACATGTCGACTTTAAACACATGAAGCAAAAATATTTTTTCTCTTCATGTGTGGCCCTAATACTCCGTCGTACCAGAATGTGAGACCCCTGCCTTGATGTCTTTAAGTGGTTTTGACCAATAGCTAAGAAGGATTAACAACAATCTATATTGAATTGTCTTTGAATTTAAACTCCTTTTAATTGAGCCATTGTGCCTTGAGCATCTTCAGAGAGATGTTCCTCTAGGATTAATATCAACAATTCAAAAATAAACAAATGCATGAATTACAATGACAGCTGTTGTATCTCCAAATAACAGGAAATCTGTAAAATATTTTTTTGATGCAATTTTTCATCCATAACGCTGCAGATAATTTTATTGATCTATAAAAAGTAGGAATTTTTTTTTTCCCACTGCCCACTTTAACAAGTCATAAAACACTGCTGTAATGCTCATGAAACTCAATGAAAGGAATGATGCGGTTTTGTGTTACTTTTATTAACAGTCAGTAATGAGGAAGTAATTAATGAAAGATGTATTCTGGGCGCTGCTTACTGGTGTGCTACGCTATGCGTGTTCGCATGTATGTGTGCACGTGCATGTCTGACTAATTGCAGTAAGTTGGGCAGCTGTAACAACCAAAATGCACTATTAAAGCTCCATTTACAGGCAGAAACTTGTTTTGTGTTTTATTTTCATTTATTAAAAGGTGCCAACCCTATAACTAATAACACAAAGGGTTTCTAAACTGTCCCTTAAATCTCAATAAGTGCTTTTTTTCTTGATTTGAGGAGATAAAAGAGACATCTTGCCATTGGAACAAGACAATTTAGATTTAAAATAAGAAAACACAACTGCGTTCTCTTATTTCAAGTGAATACTATCTAATTATCTTATTTTAAGAGTAAAAATACTGATTCCATTGGCAAACTATCTCATTTACCTACTCAAAATAAGGGTAAATACACTTAATTTAAGAAATTTTTACTTATTTCTCGATCGTTTTTCCAGTGATAGATAAAGAAAAGCACCCAATGTCACCACCCTTTCCCCCCTCCTTACATTTCATGGCTGCCAGCTTTCCCTCCTTCCATCCATCCATCACCCCCCCACCCCCTTCCTTTCATCCCCTCTCCACATGCCCTGCGGCACCCCTCCATTTGTCCAGTGAGGTCATCCCTGTGTTCTCCCTAATCCTCAGAGGTGCTCGTCTTTCTGCCTCTGCTTAATCCGCCTGTGGCCCCCAGCCCTGACCACATACACACCCATGCATGCACACACACACATCTGCAAACATGTGCACAGACTCACAGTTATTCTTGTATTGTATTCTCAGACCCACAGTAATCCCACTGCACGCATGCACACATTGTTATTCACTCAGTTATATATATTTATACACACACACATAATGCTGCTCCCACCTCTTGGTATAAAATCTATCCGTCTTGTCCACTGGATGCACTCTGTGTGTCCCTGTCCATCTGTGTGTCTCCTGCGTGTGTTTTCAGCACCCTTCTAAACAGGTATGTCTTTCTTTAATTACATTACATATCCTAATTGAATTACATACATTTTATAAGCATAAAACTAAAAATTTAACCAATGACGGTTCTAGAAATTGTCACATAAGGGGCAAAGAAGATGTTATTCTTATTTACATAACGGATATAAAACATCCAAAATAGTATATTTTTATTTAATTTCCCTTTTGGATGTTTAAAACGTTTTGAGTTTAATTAAATGTAAATGTGCAAAAACCAACTGACAGACATTTACCAAGAAAAAATGAAGGAACAAATGATAACAACATACAAATTCAGAAAGACGACTAAAATGACTCAGCAGTTTAGCTTCCAATTGTTGGACATCTTAAGGCAGCTACTGGGACGGGCAGCAATGTCCGACAAAAAGAACCTATAACTTTAGTTTGCTGCTTTACTATAGTCAGGATAGCTCGATTAGGCTAATCAAAGCTCATCTGTCCCAGTTTAGATAAGTTTTATATCTAGTTATATTTTTCTGTACATTTAAATACTTTGTAATTTATTTTACTTTGTCCATAGAAAACTCTTTAAGACTTTTGGCCCAATAAGTGATTAGTAATTACAAGTAATTCAAGGACATAAAGGTACATTTGCTCCACTGTAGATCCACCCCTGTAGATTCATCCCTATAGATTCACCCCTGTAGATCCATCCCTATAGATTCACCCCTGTAGATCCATCCCTGTAGATCCATCCCTATAGATCCACCCCTGTACATCAACCCCTGTAGATCCTCCCCTGTAGATCC